TGATGAAGACGGCTTCTTATGCAAGAGCCGGAGAAGCACTCCAACAAAGAGTTGCTCCCACTCCTCTCAATTGTGAGAGCACTTGCATGTAAGGAACGGCCCTCACTACAACACAATCGTATAACGCCCAAAGTGGACGAAACATCGCCAATCTCAACAACTGCTGTCTGCTCACTCCTTGAAAAATAGAACGAAATAAGTAAGTTTGAGACCCCAGGAGCGAGATGCTCTGTTTTTTTTCCCTTTTATTGCCTTTAATAGCCATTCCATTGTTAACCTTATGAAAATCCGAATTCAAGCCCGACATGGCAGGTCACAAATTTTGTCCCTATCGCGCTATCCCTTCTTAGGTAGAGAAACTGCCCACTTAATGACCATTAGGAGTTGTCAACTTCTCTGGAAGTGGTCGGAGTACTATTTGAATATTTGGATTATTGAGGTTCTTCAGCACCTTACATACTCTCAGGAACTCTGACAAGAACGCTTCGTTATGAACAGAACCTCCGCTCCACCTTGGAGGGACTCGCACCCGCACCATTCGCTCACCGCGCAAGCTATAATAGTTATCGAGGCATCATTTCCATAACAATCAAAAATCTCAAAAAGCCCTCCGTTACCTGTTTTTCTTCCCTACGAAGCAGGATCAAGAAATTGCTTCCCCAAACGTTCTTGACTGACAAGGATTGGCAGGAAGTGGTCATGTTAAGGCGGCTGGTTTGTGGAATCCCGCTCGTGAATTTTTTCAGACAGTGATGGTCCCTCTTTCAACATAAGGATCCGATTAAGTTCTAAGGTGGAATGGGCGCTCCAAACGGCGGGACACATTCCAAAAAACCTATATAAGTTCTGAGCATATACCCTAGGATCACATTGGTGTGGTCCCATGTGCGCGAATGTGATTGTACTGGTGGGAAGTGGGCCGGCAGTAAAGAAAAAAGGAGAAGAATCCGTCAAAAACGCTTAGGTTAAGGGCTCACTCACCTTCCTGATCGGCTGTGCTAAGGGAATGAGAGACTATGCGCGGAGGGGAGAGTATGAGGCGAGAGAGCACTACAGATGAGAGAGCGCCAGACAACAGCCTGATAAGAAAAAAAAGTCTGCAGCTTGGGCAGCTTACTTTGCAAGGCCCAAGCGCTCTTATCGGTCGGTTTCCGTGCACGAGGACGCCACATCTGTGATTGTCCTCTAGGGTTCTATACTAGTGACCGAAGAGAAGCGTTTTTTTTTTTACACGAACTCTGCTGGGGTGTTCCTCTTAACAATTCGTGTCGGTCAGTCACCGCAGCTGAGTATCTGACAGCGAGTCACTTGAACATTCAACTTAGTTGCGAAGTTAACAGCTAACCAAGCTCGAAACCGGCGACTTTCGACGACGGATTGTTGTCTGCAAATTTTATGTACATTATTATTTATTGAATACAAATTAGTCACACTTATATGAGCACGGAAGGCTGACCTTCCAACTGAATCGCTTCGTGTTGCTTTTATAAAAGATTTAGAGCCTTCGCAATTTCTAATCTCGATCTTTGGAGGAGGAGTCCACGATAAGGTCGGAGGTCGACGTAGGGCTATATTCTAATCATAAATCCAAAGCAGTTCCATTTTTCGTGTTCTATAGGCTGTTTCTCTTCACTCCTCTACCTGATTCCAACGCGCCTTTTCATAGTGAACTCCGTCATCACCTCCTTCTGAGGGGAGTTCCCATGGTGTCAAGCTGTCTCCCCATTTATAGGATAATAAAGAATGTTTAGAATAGTCTAATAGTGAAGCATATTATAACTTGAACTTCTTAAGACTATCTCGATTTTCTATGCACCAAATCGATTTTCTTACGAATTCCAAAACTTCGGCAACACACTAAGGCTGTGACTGTGTTGACGTCGTGCGACTACTTCCTAGAGATACTGTTGTAAAGGAGGATAGGCAAACTGTGTTTGGAGGAGTTGAGAGTAAGGAAGTTCCGTGAATCCGTGAAAACTTTCCTTTGCTAATAGTTCTTGCCTGGGAAACATCTGCTTTACAATATTTACTTCGAATCCGCCAGAAAAAGCATTTAAAGGAGGATTGCACGGAAAGAACGAAGGTCGAAGAAGGGAGAAATCGCCTAGTGGGGAGAGCGGTGAATCTCTTGAGGGTGCGGACAGACACGCAATCGGCATCGAAAGATTTGACCTCTGAGATCTAGCATGGCTCAAAGTTGGCGAGTTCGGCGATCTCCGCCCACCGATCGTCTGATCACTCGCCGTAGTACAATAGGTGGCGAGTGATTAGATAGCTGAGAGAGCGTAGGGTTGAAGAGGGCAAAGCGATGAGAGTCCCATCAATGCTCAAATCAACGGACAAGGAAGGGGTCCCATTTCTCCGGTTCTGGGCCGTTTTTCGTGGTTTCGCTTTCTTTCTGGTACTACTCACCATCTCTACCTCAATTTGGAATGGGTTGCTTTTCCATCGTAAATTCGTCCTTTAAAGGAATGCAATAATTCAAGAATTCTTATGCATTTGCAACTCGCAATGTAGAGAGCATTTTTGCTAAAGGATAAAGGAAGCGTTTGCCGTTGATCAATCCCTTTTTGGGATGCAGCACGCATTCTACTTCCATTTGTACATTCGTAGTGGCGTTTGAATGCGATGTGGCCTATACAATGACTTGCGGGGCCAGCCGATGTACAAGTCAGTGTTTTTATCCTCCCAGACAAGTCTGGTACCAATTATTGCCCCGGGCGATGGAAGATCTGTTGCCCCGGACGACGCACGACTAGGCCAATCCTGATCCGCGCGCGTGTAGCCACTAACGCTGAACACATAGCTTGCCATAAATCACTTCCGCCCTATATCTTTGAGAGATAAAAAACTGCCGCACTGAAGCATTTTTGGTGACCTCCGTCCTTTCACCGGGTGCACCGTTGTTAAGCTCTTGCCAATTCTATGTTCTTAGGCCGACCTGCAGCTTCTGCTCACAAAGTGCTCATTTTGATCAGTAAAGACTCATGCCAGAGTAGGCACACCGCCTGTTGTTGAGCTAGTAACTATTTTGAAAATGAATACGGTTACTTACAGATCAACTGTCATTCAGCTAAGACTCCCTTTTTCCTCAAATCACCTATCTCCCTGAGGGTTGTCCTATTGGACGTCGAGGCACCGAACCTGTTTAAAAGCAAAAATGAATCTCGTGCTTTAGCGGAGTTCGCATCTTCATTAGGGACCTCGTTTTCTCGTATTGAGCCAGCATTTTTGGCCAAAACATTCCGTAATTACAGGGATCTTCGGGCCACAATTCAACAACACGAAAACACCTTGCGAAGCATAAAATTAGCGTGCGCAAATTAGTATGCTGAAGCCGGCGAGGCAGCTACTGCGCATGATTTGTGTGGACGTGTGTGCCTTTGCCCAAAAATGCAAAACCAGCCGAAAAAGCCACTCCTCACGACTTGACCGAGATGGGGTATCGAACTAGCAATTGGGCAGCGTTAACCTCTTATGCTATAAAACTGAGTTCACACGCACACCCTTAAGCTCACACACCGCAGCGCAATCAGTCTTTGTGGCATTTATGTAGGTACCTCCCCCAAGGAAGGAGAATCATGAGTACACTCTAACTTAGATAAGGAGAATTCCCTATCAGGGCTCCTAGACGTCGACTCGACAGCAGTACAGTGCTTGCAATCTCAAATGATGATCGAGGTTTGATGGTAACGTTCTTATATCAAAGCCAACAACGCCCGAGCGATCAGCCAAGCACTCCCAAAAAATCATCAAGTAAAAGGCCTCACGATAACGAGGAGTCCAATTCAGAATCTAGTGCAACCTGAATAGACTGCGGCCTATAACCAGTCGAGGGTCAGCGAGTCTCAGCCAGTGTCTCAATCCTCGGTCCAAGCATAACTCAACCGACCCCGAAGGAGAGGCTGGTTGGATTGGACGACGCACGAGTCACATTTGATCCCCGACCACGGGTGCAAATACGCAGCGTCCATTTGCTACCCCACACCAACCTTCACCGCCATTCCCATAAACCTGCGCAATCTTAAAATGCTGTAAATCCCACTCAAATAGCGTGATGGATCTGAGTCACATCGATCATGCAGTCGGAACTCTAGTTATGAACTACGAGCGTTCCCGCTTGGAAAAGTCGCCAAAAAATGCGTCAATCAAAACCTAGCCGACGATGTACGTGAATTTCAGATCAATGGCGATGTTTCAAAGAGACAGCTTGACCTCTGTAACCTTTATGTAACGCCCATACATATATACCCGGTTCAATCTACGGTGGGAGGATTGTGGAAGGGACTAGTACGTGAAGATGTTGCTGCCGACTCGTTCAGAGTAACACCACAGATTTACTCGTTTTGATGTGGTTGTGAGTGCTGTTCCCGGTCGGGCTCAACTCGATGCGCGTAAGTTGCCGACACATTTGAATAATGTGATCATCGACCAACGGCATTTCCTTGTAGTGGACGGGCTCCTCCATCATGGGAACATCGAGATTTCCTCAGTCAGCAAGCAGATTGGTCCCTCGTTAGAAAGACGTTCCCTATTATAGCCTCTGGCGATTGAGAATTTTCTGATAGACATAGGGTAAGGTAGGTAGTGTGACAGGTAAGGCGTAGGTAAGTGAGACATAGACTACCAAGGTTGGTACTTTCTGTTGGGATCTCCGGTAAAGATAGTATTCGTGAAGAAAATAAAGGAAAAATGGTAATGGATGGAAGACAACCAAGGGCCAAATTATCGTAAACACCCAGTCGTAAACAGGCCCCTTTTGTCATCGAATATGGTACCAAATCGATAAAAGAAGAGTAGGAACGTTGCTTAGGCCGATGTCAGACTTTGCGAATCGCGCGATTCGCTACTAGCGATTCGCGCGATTCGCTAGCGTCCGCGGTCGCGTTGCGGTACCAGCCAATTGAGTGATTCACTGGCCGCGACGCGACCGCAGACGCTAGCGAATCGCGCGATTCGCAAAGTCTGACATCGGCCTTATTCTCCTTGAAGTTCGATACATGATACATGGATCAGGGCAACGGCAAGCAGATCGCCTTCACAACGGACCCAAGATGGAACAGTCGAAAAGGATGCATTTGGTAATATTCAAAGGAAATGGGTGGGAGGGACAGTGAAAAAGAAAGAAGAACGAGGATGTGAAAAGTAGATGACCAGGCCAGCTCATTTTTGGGCGTTTGTTTTTTTTTTTTTTTTTTGTTTTAGCTTTCGCCCTCTTTGCAACCACGATGCATTCCAAACTGCCCTTCTCACTCTAACAATCCAAGCAGATCCCACTTTTTCCTCCGCAAGGCTTGGATTCTGTGAAACTGCAGGCTAAACACCCCAAACTCTGGAAGGCTAATTGCTGCGCCCACTTCCTGTTCTGGCGGAGCACCAGCACTCTTGGCAGAGGGGAGAAGGAATCAATGACTCAAGAATCCTTAGCAAAGTGTCTGAAACGGAGATTTAGCTTAGGAGCAAAGGCATGCGTTGGAGTGGTAGGGAGCCCCGAAAAGCCATTAAATCGACGGGCAAGTGGCATAGACAGCAATTTTTTCGATTCATTTGGATGAAATCAATTTATTTTATTTATTTATATAACTATTGCAGGGATTAAAGAATAATTGGCTACAGAATGGTTACAATTACAATAGAGAATAATAGAAAAGAGCACAGATTATGTAGAATAAATAGATTATAGAGATATATGACACAGTATCATGACAACTATGAGATGAAGGGGGGGGGGGTCCGTGGTTGGCTAGGAGGAGGAAGGGCAGTGCCCGGCCATACACTGCAAGCCCCTGGGCGGGACAGGGCTCCGGATACCATCTTAGTAGGTCCGCCAATTAATCACTGTTATTCATCAAACATTATTTAACTTAGCCCACGGGACACTCCTTCAACGTTACTGAAAAATTCTCCCCCTGAGGTAATTGAGACTTATCTGTTACCTGTAAAGGGGTAGGCGAAAAGGGTTGTTCATGGTTAGATCCTGAAAAATATAACTCGATCAATTTTTGGTCAGGTGGCATTGCCACTTTCTGAAACGGGAGTGGTTCCATTCAAGGTAAAACAATTTCGATATAATGAAATAGTTAAACAAAAGAAGCTGTGAGAAACACAGCACAGTTCTGGGGAATCGATGGTCGTTGGTGTTTCCATTCAGTTGTTGGCGAAGTGGCTGTAGTGGCAAGTGGCACGCTACCACGCGGACAGGTGCCGGGACAAATCCTGGTCGTTAGTCGCCCCAAGGCGAAGCCTTCCATCCCTCCGGGGTCGGTTAATTGGTACCAGACTTGTCTGGGAGGATAACACTGACTTGTACATCGGCTGGCCCCCGCAAGTCATTGTATAGGCCACATCGCATTCAAACGCCACTACGAATGTAAGAATGCGTGCCGCATCCCAAAAAGGGATTGATCAACGACAAATGCTTCATCCTTATCCTTTATATGTCGCATGAATTCACAATAGTGATCCTCCTAAAAACAAGGCCAGAAAAGTCAAAGAACTGAGGATTACGGTAATGTTATATGCATATAAACCCAGTTTTTGAGTTGATGCAATGGATGAGCTCACTTTTTTTGTAATTTATTTCGGAGAGGTGCACAGGGTGGCTATAACTCACGGTCAGAAGAGCCGCCGCATGCATGTTCGGAATCGGACTGAGATAATCTCGACTGCAGGTTTTAAAGCACCAAAAATATCCCAAAGAGGACGCGTAAAACGTCCCTAAATGCCTGTCTGGGATGATTTCCGCGTTTACCACTAACACGCCACTGTGAATGAGTTACCTGAACTACTTCGCTCCTTTTTCTATGTTACCATCAGCCATTTTGGGAAATAATCCAGTTTTTTTTGTTTCTTGACTTCAATTAATAAAGCTATGTTTTCCGACTATCATTTACATGCTGTATAGACCTCCTGTGATAACTTTACCTTGTTACCGTAAATTGTGGCCACCCTATGGCTGGTGTCGAGTCCGCGACGTCGCGCGACGGATCACAGAAATCACAAGTGTGCCCGAGTCAATATTGCAAGGTGCTTTCCCATTCCGCTGCCATTTCAGCTTGATGGTGATGGCTGAATCACGACTGTTCATGATTCTACTTGTTTAATATTCAGTGTTTCAAAGTTCAATTGAGACACTCGTAATTTTTCGATCCGCGGCGAATGGGCGACGATCGCTGACATCTGACTCAGCCTACTATGTTGTCTATAGGTATTATTCAGAATTCCTGGAGACTTCCAAAGGCCAAACACATTTATTGTGAGCGATTCTCATCGGCTCATCATCAGCTCGATGGAATCTCTACCCAAATTTGAACTACTCCGGTCTTTTCTATGCCATCGTCAATTTACTCGAAGTTTTTCCACTCATCACCACCGGCCAAACAGGTAAGCCGTTCCCATACTTCTGCTTCGTTATGTGGATAAGTTTTCTTCACCTACGTGAATTGTCACTGTTGTAGAAACGCATGAAATTTGAACACAAAACTTGGAAACGCAAGAAGTTTATGGATTTTCAGTTTTGGGAACCCAACGATGATGTGTATGAACATTGGCGAGCAGCTGTTTTTAGAAACTTACAGGGGGAGGGTCTTTCAGGACATGGAGCGTTTTTGGTTTTCTGAATGTTGTAGAGGCTCATGTGAGGAACACAGAACCATGGTCCATTTTTCCTGAACGCCCCCAGGAATGTCAAAACAGCGGGGAAGAAATGGTCCAAAGTTCGATCCTCCGTGATGACAAATTTTTGCAATTTATGTTGGCGCCTCCAAATTGCCGCAAAACACGACAATGACATCTATTCTCGACGATGGCGCCATTTGGCGGCAATCTGGGGGCGCCAAACTATATTGCAAAAATTAGTCATCACCGGGGATCGAACTCTGGACCATTTCTTCACCACTGTTTTGACATTCCTGGAGGCGTTCAGGAAAAATGGATCATGGTTCTGTGTTCCTCGCATGAGCCCCTACAACATGCAGAAAACCATTTCGAAAAAGCGCTCCATGTCCTGAAAGACCTCCTTTGTTAGTCTAGCTGCGCCATCTAAGCATGCTGAAAGGATTCTAGGCAATCTCTTTACTTTCCCTTCACTGATGAGTGCAGATCACACATGCAGATGACGATGGCCCCCACAAATTGTATAAAAATGTTTTCTCCCAATGAATGATTGAAAGAAAATGATTTACCAACCACCTATCACTATGAATCACTAGTTATCAGATTTACTTGAGGCCGTCGTCACTTGTGGTGTGTAGTCTGCACTCGACACGCACCTGGTTTTCGGAAACAGAGTGTACGAATATTGTGAAGAACATCTTGTAACTAAAATAGTAGGGAAACTTTCAGTATTTGTTTTTCTAGCTATTGGAGAGGCCGTGCTGGACACTTTGAAAGCGTTGATGATGTTCCTCGATCGAGACACACTCGAGCAATTACCACTACTTCTTGCTAGTAACATTGGTGTCCTTCCAAGTGAACTTGATAAACAGGTGAGTGCTTGGGCCCTATTACCCTTTACTGCCCCACTCCTCGAAAACTGAGCCGGATTTTTATCGAAATTCGTCCATGACTGTGGATTTGGCTAGAAACTTGCCTTCAGGGGTAATTTGACCCGTAGAACACGAATATCACATTTAGCGCGAAAACGCTTGGCGCCCGCGCCAGAAGGGCCGGCGCCAAAAAGCGCCAGAACATCTCGGACCCCCAAATCGCTGGAAAGTTGTCCTCAGAGGTATTTTGACCCGTAGAACATGAATATCACATCAGTTTGTTACGAGTGAGCCTGCAGCCTGCGCTACGGGTGATCGCTACACCAAGCTGATACCAGGCTGTTTCGCGCTAAACCGATGTGATATTCGTGTTCTACGGGTCAAAATACCCCGAAGGCAACTTTCTAGCCAATTCCACAGTCATAGACAAATTTCGATCAAAATCCGGCTCGAGTTCTTGCCGAGTGGGGCAGTAAAGGGTAAATAGCGCCGGTGTTTTAACACTTGGGTGTGAAGACAAGCCCCAAAAACGTCTATCGATCTACCGCTAATCCAAGTGGAGCTCAATCACGAACGAAATAACTGAGTGGGATTATCTCAATCATCTATCCTTATCTTTCACCGAACGCCCGAATATTCCAATTAATTTTTTCGCCTTTTATTTTACCAGATTAGTCCCCCGTCAACCGCCGGGACCTTCCTTTCCTGCGCAAGCTTTCTATCCTCCGCTATGGTCCCTTCCTCCTGTGACACCAACACCTCTGGAAGTGACGCGTATGCAACACAATGGTGTTTCATACAGTAGAAGGGACACAATCATGATATGACGGTAGATTTTTCGCTTCCCTTCCTCATCCTCCCTTCCTCTCTCCACTGCCCTCCAGCTGCCACTGCAGCACCATGTGGAATGAACGGAAGTGTGCTAAGCAGGTGTTTATATAGCCCTAAGAGTGTTATCACAACTATCCTGCTACAAAACATTGATATCTCAAATCCTGTAAGCTACCCGATTTGTTAGCGGTTTGTTTATCCCATGAGCTTCCTTCTCACTCACTTCATTTTGCGGACGGACACACATACATACATACATACATACACACGCACACACATCC